CTATTCTCTATTTCCCAACGTATCTTTCATTTGTTTTTATTTTTAAATTTTTTTTAGAGATGGGATCTTGCTATGTGTATCAGTCAGGGTTCTCCAGAGGGACAGAACTAATAGGATAGATGTATATATGAAAGGCAGTTTATTAAGGACAATTGACTCACACGATCAAAAGCTAAAGTTCCACAATAGGCTGTCCGCAAGCTGAGGAGCAAGGAAGCCAGTAGTGCAGCCTTTAATTGGTGGCCCAAGGCTGGAGAGTTCCTGGCAAACCACTGGTGTAACTCCAAGAGTCCAAAGGCCAAAGAACCTGGAGTCTGATGTTCAAGGGCCAGAAGCATCTAGCACAGAAGAAAGATGAAAGCTGGAAGATTCAGCAAGCCATCTTATCTCACCTTCTGCCTGCTTTCCGGCCATGCTGGCAGCCGATTGGATGGTGCCCACCCACATTGAGAGTGGGTCTTTCTCTCCCAGTCTACTCAAATGTTAATCTCCTCTGGCAACACCCTCACAGACACACCCAGAAGCAATACTTTACCAACTATCTAGCCATCTTTCAATGAAGGTGACACCAAATGTTAACCATCATACTATGTTGCCCAGGCTGGTCTTGAACTCTTGCCCTCAATGATCCTCCCATCTAGCCTACCAAAGTTTTGGGATTACAGGTATAAGCAAGCCATTGCCCCCAGACAAAATCTTTCATTTTAAAATTATCTGGAGTTAGAGAGGCTGAGTTCAGAATATTCACCTCTGGAAGGGCTGACCTCCCTTCCACCTCAGCCTGGTCCCCAGCACCTCCAACCCTTGCACATGTGTGTGTCAGGCACGGGCAGCAGCACTATGTGAGCCCCAGCTTTTCTTCAAGACATAGCAGGGATCTGAGGACCATGCCCCAGGGATGCACACTTCACTCAACTGACCCATTCCTGACTGGGCTTACTTTTTAAATTAAGTGACCTCAGCAACCCAGGGGTATAATTTCCCATGTGCTTCTATGAAGGAAGCTTGGGATTTGCTATAAAGAGAAAAATAAGAATGGACTTCCCAGGCCTGACCATTCCCTTCACACTCCCTAATCCATTTGGCTAGAATAGGGAGTGAGATAGTAGGGGAAAATGGAGAAGAAAAAAGAAAGGAAGAGCTTAGAACGGGGGGAGTAGAATTAATGCAGACAAAAAGACCTGGAGAGCTCATCTTCTTGCTTTCCCAGCTCCTGGCTGGAGAAGAATCTTGCCTGGTACTCTCCAGAAATCCTCTCAAAGGCAAGAATGCAAAGGCTAGACCACCATGTAGACCAACAAGCATGTGCTTAGTGGATGAAGCAATAGCCTGTACTACTGTAAGTCTCTGGTAGGGAAAGATGCAATTAGCAGCACCTGCCGACTCTGAGAATTTTGCTTTCATCTTCAACATTTAGGAATTTGCTCAGGCTGACTCTTGGCAAACATCAAATCTCAGGTATCAAAGAAATTTGCTCAACAAATTCCTAGGAAACCTCCTGGGCAGGTGGCCATGAACACTTCCCTATTTGCAGATCCACCCAAAGGGGCCCAAACTGCAGAGGTGGATTCAGGAAGAAAAAGCAACAGTCCTACTGTTGCCTCACTCAAGAGACAGACTTAAGCAAAATTGTCTAGTATGTGATATTTGCCTTCTTTCCTCTCTTTTCTGAATCTCCCTTTAAGTTTCAATCTAAACTCAGTTTACCAGTAGTTACCAGCCCTCCCAAGACCTTCCTGTACCACACCTGAGTCCCGCTCTCTTCAGCAATTCCCAAATCTCTCCCCTCCCCCATCTGAGCCCTATTCCCTAAGAAACACATGGTCCCATCTCATTCTCATTACCAGGTCCTAAGCACACTCAGCACAGTCCCTACTTCCCCCACCACCCCGCAACCCTGCCAGCTTCCCAGCAATTTCTGGAATACCATGCCGAAGATCCTTAGATTGCTTTTATCTGTGAGCCTGAGTTGGCCTATAAATGGGAAGAAGGATGGCGGTTTTTTCTGTTAATTTCAGTATGTAATAAATTATGCCTTGTGGTTTTTGTTGTTGTTGTTGATGTTTGTTTTTTTTTTTTTGAGACAGTCTCACTCTGTTGCCCAGGCTGGAGTGCAGTGGTGCCATCTTGGCTCACTGCAACCTCCGCCTCCTGGGTTCAAGCAATTCTCTTGTCTCAGCCTCCTGAGTAGCTGGGATTGCAGGCACATGCCATGATGTCTGGCTAATTATTGTATTTTTAGTAGAGATGGGGTTTCACCATATTGGTCAGGCTGGTCTTGAACTCCAGACCTCTGGTGATCCAGCCACTTAGGCCTCCAAAAGTGCTGGGATTAGAGGTATGAGTTGCCACATCCAGCCTATTATGCCTGTTTTAATGAATCCTTTAATAAATGAAGAGATGATCAAATGAATGAATGAATCTTTAAGACATTCATCAATATCTTTTTATTAAAACCTAATTTGGAGTTTATATAATGGGGGGGCGGGGAGAGAGAGAGGAGAGAGAGAGAGAGAGAGAGAGAGAGAGAGAGAGAGAGAGAGAGAGACTCCAGAAACTAATAACAAGCATCTGGCTCATTCTCCACTGCGCCATCACCCCAGATGCACTGCTAAATGCAGGGACTAGGAGGAAGGCTCTTCTCCCAGGACAGGCTGAGTGCATGTCCTAGGAGAGGGGAAAAGTAGAAGAATGTGGTCATGTGAACACTAACAAAAAGCTTCTAAATCATGGATAAGCCATCGTTAATGCCTTTGTGCTGATATTTGTTAGTTAAGACTGGCCAGACTTGCCTTTGTATAGAATGATGTTCCTGGGTGGAACAATTGCTGAAAAGACTCACTGTTTTAGACACATAGGGGCATTAATTTTATTTGGTTCCCTGACGGCTTGTACCGGGGTTATGTGCGGCACCGTGGTTGGCCATGAGTTCCTGCCAACATGTCTGGCGGAGTTCCCTCAAATCAACTTGAGTCACCTTTTGGTTTACAGCCATCATCGCCAACTCATCTATGGATATGTGTATGTCTTGGATTTGAGGGAATAGTTTTGATTTCAAACCATGTCCTATTGCTAGGCTGGAAGTCAGGCCAGGTGTCCTGGTATCTTTAGTTTTAAAAAGTATCCTCCTCTGGTCATAGAATGACTAAAAAAATAAAATAAAACAAAATAATAAAAATTATCCTCATAATGGCATATGGTTCTAATTGCACTTATAAGAGCTTTTTTAATTATTAAAATCTTTTTCACTATAAAAGTAATCACATTATTAAAAACTTTGGAAATGTAGGACAAAAAACTTTATCACCCTTAATACTACCATTCTGGTACATGGGTATATGCTCATGTATAATTTTCCCAGCATAAAATAAATATAGAATTTTATATCCTACTTTCTCCAACCAACATTACAATGTTTTTTTTCTTTGTAGAGATAGGGTCTTGCCATGTTGCACAGGCTGGTTTTGAACTCCTGGCCTCATGTGATCCTCCCACCTTGGCCTCCCAAAGGGCAGAGATTACAGCGTGAGCCACCACACTTGGCCAACAATACAATTTTAAGAACATTTTAAAAAACATTTCTAGCTGGGCGCGGTAGCTCACGCCTGTAATCCCAGCACTTTGGGAGGCCGAGGCGGGTGGATCACAAGGTCAAGAGATTGAGACCATCCAGGTCAACATAGTGAAACCCCGTCTCTACTACAAATACAAAAAATTAGCTGGGCATGGTGGCGCGTGCCTGTAATCCCAGCTACTCGGGAGGCTGAGGCAGGAGAATTGCCTGAACCCAGGAGGCGGAGGTTGCAGTGAGCCGAGATCGTGCCATTGCACTCCAGCCTGGGTAACAAGAGCGAAACTCCGTCTCAAAAAAAAAATTTCTAGTAAAACTTATTAAGGATAGCATTTTAATGGCAGGATAATATTTAACTCAGGAGTTACTAAAATATATTAATCATATGTCTATTTGTTTATACTTTCTCACTATTAATAAATCTGCAATAAATACCATTAGACATACATTTTCTATAATTTTATTTTTCCTTGGTTTAGATTCTAGATGCTGAATTATAGGCTCAGCGTATGACTATGCTTATGACTCTTGATGCATTTGCAAATTTCTCTCAAAAGAGGTTTTATCGATGTACAGACATCAACAATATCTGAGGGGTCGGTTCCATATCATCACCAACAACGAACTACAGTGGTGAAGTTTTGAAATGATTCTCAGGAATTTCATTGAACAATGGCCCCCTATTTTAGTAGGTAAAGTGCAGATACAAGATGAATAAAAAACAGATGCCATACTGAAGATAATAAACTGAAGAGCGGTGTCATTTAAACCAGGTGAGTATTTAAAAATAAAAAAAAAAAACTCTTCAGTAATGCTCCAAACCGCAATTTCTGTGGACTGCTAGGAAACAAAGCATGGCTGTCACATAAACTGGAATGTAGCAATCACAATCAGGGTAGCTTTCTCAGAAGAAAAGGCTTTTGCAGATTTGAGTCACAGGCCAAACTCCAAACAGCTCCAGGCATACATCCTATTCAAGGGTGCACTTTCTTTTTTTTTTGTTTTGTTTTGTTTTGAGACGGATTCTCGCTGTTCTTACCCAGACTGGAGTGCAATGGCATGATCTCGACTAACCACAACCTCCGCCTCCTGGGTTCAAGCAATTCTCCTGCCTCAGCCTCCCGAGTAGCTGGGACTACAGCTGTGCACCACCATGCCCAGCTAATTTTTTGTATTTTTTTAGTAGAGGCGGGATTTCACCTTGTTGACCAGGATAGTCTCGATCTCTTGACCTCGTGATCCACCCCCCTCCGCCTCCCAAGTGCTGGGATTATAGGCGTGAGCCACCGCGCCCGGCCTCAAGGGTGCACTTTCTATGTAAATGCCACAGAAAGCACTGTTGCACTATGTTGGTCTTGTCAGCTCTACTCATAGATGCAGTATGTGGAACGATGCTATTATTTCCTAATATAGCAATAAATAGCAGCTAACACAAACCAAATAGCTAATTATTGAATAAGAGAAGGGGAAAAGAAAATTTAATGGGCACCTGCAAAGAACCAGGCCATTTCACATTGGTCTTGTCCATTTCATAAGCCTGGATCCAGTGTCCTGGCCCTTCAGCCTCACGTGGCAGTTCTGAAAAACACATTCCAGGGGAGCAGAAAAACTGAGTTCTGGGATCTTATGGCTGAGTTCAGGGATCCTGTCCCTGGGCTTCTGAGTTTCATCCTGGCTGCATCTCTCTGGATGCTATGGAATAGCAGTGCTCCTCTACCTCAAAGATGACAGAAAAGTATTTGTGAAGCACCACTAATACACTAACTGCCGCTTCATGGCACATGAGTGGTTATTCACCTTCCTTACTGCAGGACTCTTGTATCTAGGTACTACTCTCTTTGAAAATTACTGCAGCTTTTAGCATTATGCATTATCATTAATAATCTTTGAAATATACATGTTTATCAATTTTAGCAATTTGTTGTGTGGTTATTAGTACATTTACATGGCACTCTAGAAAAATGGACCAATTCTTGATAGGTAAAAATATAATAAAATGTGGCAATTTTAAAGATTTTAAAAGTAAATTTCTGATAACTGTCTGTAACTAATTTTAGCCAAACAAATGCTTGTGAATCATATGGGCAGCAGAGCCTGGGCTGCTGAGCAGATTCAGGGGTGGAGTCCCCACCCTGCCACTTGTTATCCTGCTCAGTTACCTGACCTTCCTTAGCCTATTTCTTCATCTGTAACTGGGGCAGAATAATAGACATATTATTATTATTATTATTGAGAAAGTGCATCTAACATTCAACACAGGGTCTGGCATACCATAAATCCTCAGTAAATATTAGCTATGTTTTTCTCAGCTATCTGATGGACCCTCTAATAATAATGTTATTATTTATACATAATATATAACATTATATAATATATAATACAATAACGAATTATAAAATACATTACTATACATAATATAAATTTTTTTTTTTGAGACGGAGTCTCGATCTGTTACCCAGGATTAAGTGCAGTGGCAAGATCTTGGTTCACTGCAATCTCTGCCTTCTCGGCTCAAGTGATTCTCCTATCTCAGCCTTCCAAGTAGCTGGGACTACAGGTGCATATCACCATGTCCAGCAAATTTTTTGTATTTTTAGTAGAGACGGAATTTCGCCATGTTTGCCAGGCTGGTCTCAAACTCGTGATCTCAGGTGATCTGACCAACTTGGCCTTCCAAAGTGCTGAGATTATAGGCATGAGCCACCATGCTCGGCCTATTTTCCCCTTTCTAATAAACATGTTAACCTTTAAATTTTAAAGCATTCGGCTTATTAGGGAGTCAGGGGATTTCATATCCACAAATGAAAATTTGTAAGAGTGTTGGGTGCAATGGCTCATAGCTCTAATCCTAGTGCTTTGGGAGGCTGAGGCAGGAGGATCACTTGAGGCCAGGAGTTTGAGACCAGCCTGGCCAACACAGCAAGATCCCATCTCTATGTGACATCTCTATGAAATAAAAATTTAAAAATTATCTGGCCATGGTGGCATGTGCCTATATCCTAGCTACTCAGGAGGCTGAGGTGGGAGGATCACGTGAGCCTATGAGTTGGATGTTATGATGAGCTATGAGCCACTGCACTTCAGCCCAAGCAACAGAGCAAGATCCTGTCTCTATTTAAAAAGAAAAAAAATTTGTAGGGGCCAAACAGCAGATATAGAAAGACTTTTACTAATATCCGTATCACCTGCGTTTAATGTTAGTGGAAATAATGTGACCTTATTTCCTAATGAGTGTAGAGTGCACTTTGGAATGACAATGAACCTCTCTTTCATCAGTGACTCCTGGTAAGTACGTGTGACTTAAGCTACTGTGGGTGTTCAAGAAATATGGCCGGGCACAGTGGCTCACACCTGTAATCTCAGTCCTTTGGGAGGCCGAGGAGGGCAGATCACGAGGTCAAGAGATCAAGACCATCCTGACCAACATGGTGAAACTCTGTCTCTACTAAAATACAAAAATTAGCCGGGCGTGCTGGCACACGCCTTTGGTTCCAGCTACTCAGTAGGCTGAAGCGAAGAATCAATTGAACCCAGGAGGCGGAGGTTGCAGTGAGCTGAGATTGCGCCACTACGCTCCAGCCTGGCAAAAGAACAAGACTCCATCTCAAAAAAAAAAAAAAAAAATTAGCCAGAACTGGTGGCATGCACCTGTAGTCCCAGCTCCTGGGGAGGCTGAGGTAGGAGGGTCAACTGAGCCTGGGAGGTTGAAGTTGTAGTGACCTGAGATCACACCATTGCATTCAACCTGGGTGACAGAGTGGGACCCCATCACAAAAAAAAAAAAAGTTGAAATTGCTCATTGATCCACAGGCTGCAGAATGTTGTGTTAGCAAGCATGAAAACGACGCTCATCTCCTCGTCCATCTCCATTAGAGCCCTTGGGCAACTAAGTGCACTGTCAATGAACAGTAATGTTTTGAAAGGAATCTTTTTTTCTGAGCACTGGGTCTCCACAGTGGGCTTAAAATAGTAAACCTTGCAGCCGGTCGTAGTGGCTCATGCCTGTAATCTCAGCACTTTGGGAGGCTGAGGTGGGCGGATCACCTGAGGTCAGGAGTTTGAGACCAGCCTGGTCAACATGGCGACACTCCATTTCCACTCAAAGTACAAAAATTAGCTGGGCATGGTGGTGGGTGCCTGTAATCCCAGCTACTCAGGAGACTGAGACAGGAGAATCACTTGAACCCGGGAGGCAGAGGCTGCAGGGAGCCAAGACTGCACCACTGCACTCCAGCCTGGGCGACAAGAATGAGACTGCATCTCAAAAAAAAAAAAAAAAACTGGCTCACACCTATAATCCCAGCACTCTGGGAGGCTGAGATATGCGGATCACCTGAGGTTGGGAGTTCAAGACCAGCCTGACCAACATGGAGAAACCCTGTCTCTACTAAAAATACAACATAAACTGGGCGTAGTCACACATGCCTGTAATCCCAGCTACTCAGGAGGTTGAGGCAGGAGAATTACTTGAACCCGGGAGGCGGAAGTTGTGGTGAGCCAAGATGGCACCACAGCATCCAGCCTGGGCAGGAAGAGCAAAACTGTCTCAAAAAAAAAAAAAAAAGTGAACCATGCTATAAATGATGTGCTGTCATCAGGCTTTGTTGCTCCATTTCTAGAGCACAGGCAGAGTAGATTTAGCATAATTCTTAAAGGCCCTAGGATTTTCAGCATGGTAATGAGCACTGACTTCCACTTAAAGTCACAGCTGTGTTAGCCCCAACAAGAGAATCATCCTATCCTTTGAAACTTGAAGCCAGGCACCGATTTCTCTTCTCTAGCTATGAAAGTCCTAGAAGGCATCTTCTTCCAATAGAAACTGTTTCATCTACAACAAAAATCTGTTATTTAGTGTAACCACCTTCATCAATGATCTTAGATCTTTCAGATCACCTGATGCTTCATCTTGCACTTTTATGCTACAGACATGGCTTTGTTACTTCAACCTCATTAACCTCTGCTCGCTTCAAACTCTTCTGCAGTTTCCTCACCTCTCTTAGGATTCAGAGAATTGAAGAGAGCTAGGACTGTGATCTGAATTAGCTTTGGCTCAAGGAATGTTGTAGCTGGTTTGATCTGTCCAGACCACTAAAAAGGTACAGCAAATGATTAGAAACAGTAGGGGAAAAAAGCAGATAAGACCATTATTATCTCAGAGGTTATATTCTTTGGGGAGGAAACGGACAATAAGCAAGTGAACAAATGACAGATGTAAACTGAGGTGATAAAAAGGTGATGTGAAATCAATGTGATAAAGTGTGCATGGAGATACCACTGGAGTGACCAGAAACGTCTCCACGAGGCAGTAATCTTTGCAGTTAATTGACAGGAGCCAAGCATATCTGAATAGCGTTGCTTTTAAAATCCTTTCCATTCTACTTTTCTACTTATAAACAAATCTAAATTCATGGCCATAAGTACTCTATTTTAGGGAAAATATTTTAACTTAAAAGCTTTTGCTCCCGTCCTCCCCATTTTTTTTAACTGCAAATGTTGAAGCCATTATTAACCCCAAGAATTCTATCTTTTTTTTTTTTTGAGATGGAGTCTCTGTCACCCAGGCTGAAGTGCAGTGGCAAAATCTCTGCTCACTGCAACCTCCACCTCCCCAATTAAAGCAATGCTGCCACCTCAGCCTCCTAAGTATCTGGGATTACAGGTGTGTGCCACCACACTGGCTAATTTCTTTACATTTTTAGTAGAGACCGGGTTATTACATGTTGGCCAGGCTGGTCTCAAACTCCTGATCTCAAGTGATCCACCCACCTAGGACTTGGACTCCCAAGTGCTAGGATTACAGACATGAGCCACTGTGCTGGGCCTGAGTTCTAGCAAAACCAATTCAGGACTAACCACTGGTGAGAATCCCTTCTTGCTCTGGCAGCTCTCCTCCCCCATTATCTGGACTCTACAGTTCCCCTCTCTCCTTGGTTATCGTTTTCTCAATCTTGGGGCTCCAAAGCCCCTCTTTCTTTTGCCCCTCCTGGTGCTACTTCCCTCTGCAAAGCAGTGCTTCCAGAGATCATAAGCCCCATGAGGGCAGGAACACTGCTTGTGTTATTCACTGCTCCATTCCCAGCACCCCTGAATTGTGCTGAGCAGAGTTTGCACTCAATAAATACTCACTCAGTGAGAAAACTTCCTGAAGCCACTAGGAGGCTAACCAGTCACCTCTCCAGATGCCTCAGTACTTGAACCTACTAGAAAGAATTTGTGGCCTACCTCCATAGAGATAAACATGATTCCCATTTTGCAAACGGACAGCTGAGTTAGTTCAAATAATCTAAGATCATAACTACTCTACCTAAAATGGTCTGACCCTTGGTTAGAAATATTTTTAAAAGCCAAGAAGTAGAAGCTATTGAAAAATCCAGCATACAAAGAGAACACTACTCATGTCATTTAATATTTCTTGAAGATATGATGGATTTAACTGATGTAGAACAGCCTTCCTGGATAAATCCAACAATAAATATTTTGGTTTCCTGAAAACAAAACAAAAAACAAGCAAAATAACTGTTCTTGGCTTGAATCATAGTAATTCTTTGCTGGCAGCTCGGCCCAAGCTGATTGCATATGTGCTTTTAGGATAGGGCTGGAGACTGCATGTGTGTTCTGCACAACAACCACGGACACTTAACATTCATCAAATAATAATGAAACAGGACGCCTGGATTTTTTTGTTTCTCCTAGGTTTCTTCCTCATTTAAGTGACCTTGGACAAATCCATTCCTTCCCTCATATCTGATTTCCATCAGTCTGGTTCGGGATAATGTTTATGACTAAGATGCTTTGTGAGATCTTTACAAATAATAGTTACTGCCCCTCATCTATGAAAATTTTCCTCCTTCACTACCCTATGGGATGTTTGCATGACCCTTCCATTGAAAACCTTCACACACAGTTGTGAAGCGTCAATACCATCTAGGGACGGTTCAGAGGTTCCAAAGCCAATCAACTGACAAGTCATGGAATAACTTGGGCCATGAAAAGTACGTTTCCTATGCTACTGAGAACTGGAAAACAGGTACATGTACTAATCCTTAAACCATGTTTTCCTTCTTTCTGCCGTTTTCAGCCTCTTCTAAACTATGCAGAAGCTGCGGACATTTGACTATCCTATATTCGACAACTGCTTCCAAAGCAATCCTACCGAAAACAGATCACACGGCCCCCAGGGGCGGGCAGGACAGGCCGCCGGGCCCCGGTTCAGGAGCTGCGCGCTCCACACATTGTTTAGAGGCCGAGGCGACACAGCCATCTTGCGTCGGGCGCCAGGGCCCGAGAGGAGAGCGAGCCCAGTCCCCAGATCCCGGAGGCAGGCACTGGCGAGGGGCTGCCCAGCAGGCAGGCGGCCCGCCCGAGTCAGGCAGGATTCTGAGCCATCAAGTTGTCTGTGGTGGACTCGGGCTGGACCCGCAGGACCCTGCCGCACTTGGCTGGTCGCGCAGGCGGGAAGGAGGCCGTCGGTCCGCCCCTCCTGATGCCGCAGCGGCCCCGTCCGACAGCGGGCGCGGGACTCCAGGCTCCGATTTGCTAGCTTCCTGCTAGGGAGCGTTTTCCACTGGGGCGCGGCGACCGGACCGGTCGCGTCTTCCCCCACCCACCGCCGCCTGGGTCTCCACGGGGGCGCGCGCCGGAGCCCGCGCGGTGGCGGCCCCTCCCTCCCCTCCCCGCCTCGGCCCCAGACGCCCGCAGGCCGGGCGTTCACCCGCCGCGCCTTCGCCCAACCTCCCCTCCCCCCGCTTCACTCCGGGCACCCCAAACCCGGGCATCGGGGGTTCGACGCTGTGCGCGCACGGAGCGGGATGGCAGTGTAGGGCCGGGGGCAGGGGTTGGCCGGGGGCGGGCGGCAGTTTCGGCGGGAGCAGGAGGCCCCTCAGCGTGTCTTTTGTGTTTGTACACACACGGCGCGAGGCGGCCGGGAGGAGGGAGCAGGCGGCGTGCGGGGGAGGGGCGAGCGCGCGCCAGCGAACTGGCGCGCGGGGGGAGGGGAGGGGGCGGGGCGCGAGCAGCGCTGCGGGGGCGGGGCCGAGCCTTCCCTCCATTGTGTGTGATTGGCTGGCGCGCGGCGCGGGGGCGGGGCGGCGTGTGTTGGGGGATAGCCTCGGTGTCAGCCATCTTTCAATTGTGTTCGCAGCCGCCGCCGCGCCGCCGTCGCTCTCCAACGCCAGCGCCGCCTCTAGCTCGCCGAGCTCCAACCGAAGGAGAAGGGGGGTAAGTTTCCCCGTCTGTCCTCTTCCCCGAAACCGAGCCCCGCTTGCCGTCAGCCCCGACCCGGGCCCTGGTGGTGCCGGGAGGGTACCCGTAGCCCCTCCACCTTAGCCCACAAACTTTTTGGCCCAGAAATGAAGCGAGTTTCCTTCTTCCCTCTGGCGGCGGCGGCTCCCCAGTCTCTCGCCGCCTCAGCCCAACAGCAGCAACCGCCGCGGCGCCGAGCCTGCTCTCCCTCCTCCTCCCCGCGCCCCTGGCTCCTCTTTCTTCGGTGATATCCCGCCCGCTGCCCCTTCCGCGGACCCCAAACCTTCACCACGACCCGCGCGGGCCTCTTAACTACTGCCCCCGGGCCCCGGCCCCCAGTTTTCGGGCGGGAAAGGGGTGGAAATCGCTGCCGCTTCGCACCCTGGGGTAACTCGCTTTTTGCTGCCTCCCCACAGTTGTTGCTAAGCTTCACCATCTTGTCTCTCTTCTCTGGTCACCGACCATATTTTTTCCCCCGTTTCTCTCTTCCCCATTTCAAAAAAGCAAGAATTTTTAAAAGAGGGACATTTTTTCCCCTTTTTTGGAGAAGCGAAAACTTGATGCATTTGAAATGCAAAAAAACTTTTGCATTTTGGAGGGCGGCACGTGGCAGGGGATCGGGGTATTTTCGAGAGATTTGGTGTTTTGTCTCTTTGGAACGGAATCGGATACGTTTTGCGATTGTTTCCATTTTGTTCTGGTCTGGGAGCCGAGTTGGTGCCTGCTCGAGGCGCTGGGAGCTAGACGGGCAGGTTGGGGGACCCTGTGCCGAGGGACCCAGAGGAGGCAAAACCAAAAGTTTATGTGGTGCTTGGGGTGGACCGGTCGGCGGATGTCGTGCCTTAATTAAAGCCTGGGTGCGGGGCACTTTTTATTTCACTGGGAAGCCTGTGAGGACTGGACGCGAGGACGGGGCTTTGTAGAATGCTCGCTGGTGGTAGCTGTTGTTCCTCTCGTTTTTTCGAGACGCCTTTTTGTCAACATAACGATATCTTTGTTGAACGATACAACACCAAGAATATTTTCAGATATTTACAGCAATCCATCAACAGCTAGAGGAAGGGGGGGGCAACCAAAGGGGGGAGTAAGACCTTTTTTGCTGTAATTTGATTCGATCCTCCAGCGATTTGTGGCTTCGTTCTTTTGACTTGTTTGTGGATGGAATGTTTACAGACATTCCTAATTTCTGCTTTAATTAATTAAATAAATTGGATCAAAGGCTGTTAAGAGGTCTTTTTGTTTTCCCGTTTGTCGCTCAGAATTGGCATTTCGAGAGAGGAATGGTATTTATTAATTGCTAACAATTTTCTAGTACTAGTTTGTTTCAAGAAGTCATTTTGGGTAGACGTAATCTGCACCCTTTCAAATTATATAACAATACGAACATTATTTTTTATACTGATCATAATTTCCAGATATGGGAAAGGAGTGATCGTGATCGTAGCAGGAAAACTTGTGTGTTTAGTAGTTTCATATGGTGATTCGATTTTTTTTTAATGCTGGTAGGTAAGTAAGGAGGTCTCTATACCATGGCTCGTACAAAGCAGACTGCCCGCAAATCTACCGGTGGTAAAGCACCCAGGAAGCAACTGGCTACAAAAGCCGCTCGCAAGAGTGCGCCCTCTACTGGAGGGGTGAAGAAACCTCATCGTTACAGGTATTAAAAAACAAGAGGAAAAAAATGGGACAGTCTCTCTCTTATGTATCCGTATAATTTAACAAAAGATGAATAACAGGAAAACTTTTTGCCTTAGAGAAACATTTTTTTTATTTGAACACTTCTTAAATACATGTACTGTGTAATCAATTATATATATAAAATTTAGTATTGGGTTTTATTGGAAACGTTTAACTTTGAAGCCATAATCTGACCTAGAGGCCTAAGGAGACCTAGTACATCACTGATAATAGAATATATTGACATTTTAGTTAACTTAGTAATTCTTTAAAAATAGTTATGTGTTGCCTTCTTCAATACACTGTTGAGGATATCTTTGCTAGCTTTTGGCAAAATAATCGAAATTGGGTGTTTTCTAAGATTCCTACCCCCTCGTTTATTTGATTAGCTTATTTCCTTCTATATTAGCTCATTGGATTGTGAACGGTCTGAGCCACTGTGTTGTTAAGGGCATCTGCCATTAGAGGGCAGAAGTTGCCCAGACTTAGATAGCCTCAGCAGATATTACCATTAACCTAAAATAAAAGCTCATACAGTGGAAGAAGTCAGAATGAGAGGTAAATTTCTTGCTAACAATCACTTAGTTTTAAAAAAAACTTTTCCACGTGGAAGGAACACTGCGAAATCGGATGTATTCAAATTTAATAATTCTTGAGGAATGAACTGTAGTCAGAGTAGAGGTATTCTGGGAAATAGAACTTAAATGCCACAAGTAAATTTTTAAATGAAGTTAATTGGGTTGTGTTGGTTATCTTTAAGGGCTGTTAAGATAATAGAGGGTGCTGAGTTGAGAAGAGTCAACTTCATTAGTAGCCTGACAGCTACTACCTTCCAGGGTTTCGATACCTGTATCACTTTTAAAAATGAAAATAAATAGGGCTTTGATAAACTCCTTGATAAGAATGTATTTTAATTTCATGCTTTTTGCTAAAGGTATTGTTACTCCTACTAGAGTTGAATGTCATCATAAGTTGATCAGTGAAATTTGATACCGAAGCTGAAGAATTGTTGGGTGGTTTGTTTTTTGAAAAATTACTGCATTGCTTTAAAGCTGCCCACTTTTTATGCTATTTAAGTTTTTGGTAACTTTCTTTATTATTAATTTTTTAAAGGCCTGGTACTGTGGCACTCCGTGAAATTAGACGTTATCAGAAGTCCACTGAACTTCTGATTCGCAAACTTCCCTTCCAGCGTCTGGTGCGAGAAATTGCTCAGGACTTTAAAACAGATCTGCGCTTCCAGAGCGCAGCTATTGGTGCTTTGCAGGTAAAATAATGGGTGGGGAAGACTCAGTTTGTATTCCTGTGTGTACCAAGAACAGTTCTAGAATATTTTCGAATATGCTTTTATATATATATCCATATATCCGCCCCCCCCCCCCTCGCTTACAACCTCCACCTCCGGGGTTCAAGTGATTCTGCCTCAGCATCCAAGTAGGTGGGATTGCAGGTGGGCACTACTATGCCTGGCTAATTTTGTATTTTTAGTAGAGATGGGGTTTTTCCATGTTGTTCAGGCTAGTCTCAAACTCCCGACCTCAGGTGATGCCCCCGCCTCTGCCTCCCAGAGTGCTGGGATTACAGGCATGAGCCACTGTGCCCACCCGCTAATATTGTTTAATCACAAGCCTGTTGGGTAGTAGATTTCGTGACTTCACTCTTGAGACTTCAGAAAGGTTAAGTTGCTCAAGGTCATGCCCATAGAAAATGGCAAAACCATAACTTGAACATCTGACTCCAAGGCTTAGTGCACATTTCATTATACCATTTAAAATTTTGAAACATTGCACTAAAAGCAATATTTAAAGAAAAGCCTCTGATTTGGTTTATGGATGCTGTAGGACATTAAGAAGAACTGAGACTAGAGGTCTATATTTTAGTAACAGTTTCAAGCCATAGTGCCTAGAATGAAAGAAATGTCTCTTTAGTTCCTGAAGAAACAGATATAGAGAGACCTTAATATCTAGGATGGGAATAGGCAGTATTAAAGAATTAGGCGTTAAGATGTAAAAGGAGCAGTGAGTGGAGGATAGGATTGGAAGGCAAGATGGGGGAAACAGTGCTTAAAGGTGATACTGGACATGTAAGGGGGCAGGGATTTGCTTTGTGATTTGCTGAAGGAGATTAAGGATTTCCACTTAAATGTGGAGTATATTGAATTTAATCTTAATCTCTAGCATGTCAGGATTTAGAGAAATAGTATTCTAGAGATGTTTTTATGTATTTGAGATATTTGTGCTTTATGTCAAGACCAAAACTTTGCATCTGTTGCTTCAGTATTGGCAAAATAAAAGAAAAAAAAAGACAAAAATTTGAAATTACTACAGGATACTTGATAAAGGTATGTAGGTGTAATTAACAATAGTAACTTAAGTAACCTATTTTATATTGTGTGGTTGGAGTTTTTAGATGAAAGTATCCCAGAATACAGTAAAGCTACCGCCTCCATCAGAAGCATGCAGTTGGGGCCGCTAAAAATGCTGATTGCTAGGCATCATTGCAGACCTGAATCAATCTCGTGGGGGGGGGGGGGGGAAGTATCCAGAATCTAAGTACGCTCCATTGGAGGATTTTCAAGGCTGCTGTTGCTGTGCCGGGCTTTTGCTTTATGTGTGAAAAAGATTTGATAGGTGGATTCCACCCTGAAGTGTAATTGGCCGAGCTGTTTCTATGGTTAGTCTAAACTTCATTTGATTGGTGAATTCCAGGATTAGGCATCCATTAAATTCTCAGTGAATTGCTGAAATTTCAACTACTAAAATCTTGTATTCTGTTACTTAAAACTTTATTTTCTCTTTTTATAGCCAATTATTTTCAGTTCTCATTTCATATATTACTAAATGCAGAAATGTTACTAAGATTCCCAAGCATTGGTACAAAGCTGCTAATATTTTCTAGTTAGAACTATGCGTAAGGAACACAATACCATACTTGAAAAGTGCAGCTTTTTTTTTTTTTTTTTTTTTTTTTTTTGAGACAGTTTCGCTCTTGTTACTCAGGCTGGAGTGCAATGGCCCGATCTCGGCTCACCACAACCTCCGCCTCCTGGGTTCAGGCAATTTTCCTGCCTCAGCCTCTGAGTAGCTGGGATTATAGGCACGTGCCCACCATGCCCAGCTAATTTTTGTATTTTTAGTATAGACAGGGTTTCGCCATGTTGACCAGGATGGTCTTGATCTCTTGACCTTGTGATCCACCTGCCTTGGCCTCCCAAAGTGCTGGGATTACAGGCGTGAGCCACCATGCCCGGCCGAGTGCAGCATTTTTTAGCTTAAATATCAGTAATGTAGCCTTTTAAATTGAGTTTACTAAACAATCTGGGTAAAAGACTCATCTTTCTAAAATTATTCATGTGTAAACTTCAATTGTTACTATTACATATTTGTCATTAAGTGTGGTTGTATTGGTTTTAAGCAAAATGTTCGCCTCTTCTGTCCACAGTGCTCTTAGTGTTAGCTCTTTATTGGAAGGAGTGATCTGTGTAACGGGCTTTTGTGTTTTGTGTTTGCTTTTTTATGCATATGCTCTTAAAGATGCAGAGGGAGAATTTTAAATGGAATAGAATAGTAAGATTGCAACTGAAGTTGAAATCCAAAGGTCACTTTCTTTTTGGCCTTAGAATTATACATTTTACAGCTAAGGGATGGGAGGGAGTCCAGTGAGAATGGTAGAGAAGTTAGTCTCAGTTTGCCATAGGTAATCAAAAATTGACTTGCTTAAAATTTAGTCTTTGCCTTTAATGTCTGAGAACTTGAACTCAAATATCCTTATGTTAAATGAATAGTGGTTGCTTTGAAATGGTAAAGAGCCAGACATTGAATATAATCAAAATGTCCTAAACTATTATTTTCTTGTAGTTTTTTCTTTTGCCATTAACTCAATTCATTGGGTCATAAATTAATGTAGCAATCTTTAATTCTCATTACAGTCTTAATGTTTTAAGGGACTTTGGGTTACTTGTAACAGAACTGGAAATGTATGGTTTATGGTCAGATCCTCTCTAGGAGTTTAATCTTTAGAGCTGACCAGACACAACCCTCATAAACTACCAGCCAGGTTCTAAGAGCTGTGAGAGCCCCAGCTGCCGCATGCCACATCTGAATAGTTCTAGGTGATACCACTCTAGGCCTCAGAATCATGGGACCTGATGGTTTGCCCACCTAGTAGCTTGTGCCACATTTCACAAAAGCATTCTAGCTTTCTATAATCCTGAGGTACCAGGTTAAGCTTGTAAGTAAAAGTAAACTTTTCTTTCCTGAGAAACTTCACTACTAGTAGGTGATGTGCGTTGTGAGCCCCTAAGGAGGCTACAATATGCCGTGTTTTCCAGGCTTTCTACCCACTCTAGAATAGGTTAAGAACGAATCTCTGAATATTAAGGACTTTTGCTTTTTAATACCTTTGGAATAGGTAAGATGTGATGGACTAATTACATAGAATAGAAACTTTTTTAAACTAGCAAAGATGAAGGTGTAAATGTACTTTTTTAAAATAGTGTAAACCATTTGAATTCATTATTGGTGTGATGATGCTTTTAAAGGGATCTCAATTGTTTTATTGCAAAGTCAAAACTTTTATAAAACAAAGGTCTGTATCCTGGTCTTGAGCTCCTAACCTTGTTTTATGTGGCATTGTGGGGCTTAAATTGCTCTGTTATTTGTGTATGTCTTATTAGGATAAAAATAGCAACTTAAAGACTATTTTCTCCCTTAATATATCTTGAGCAGAGAAATAATTTTTCCTTATAGAGGAAGAGAGGGCTGACTAATGTATTATTTCATGCTCCAAATCCAAAACTGTTGGATTCATGGTTTATTTATTTATTTTTTTGAATAGAGACGGGGTTTCACCATGTGTTGGTCAGGCTGGTCTTGAGCGCCTAACCTTGTGATCCACCCACCTCAGCCTCCCAAAGTGCTGGGATTACAGGCATGAGTCACTGTGTCTGGCCTGGATTCGTGATTAATTTTCAAGATGGCAATTTCTCGGCCGGGCGCGGTGGCTCAAGCCTGTAATCCCAGCACTTTGGGAGGCCGAGGCGGGTGGATCACGAGGTCAACAGATCGAGACCATCCTGGTCAACATGGTGAAACCCCGTCTCTACTAAAAATACAAAAAATTAGCTGGGTGTGGTGGTGCATGCCTATAATCCTGGCTACTCGGGAGGCTGAGGCAGGAGAATTTCCTGAACCCAGGAGACGGAGGTTTCGGTGAGCCGAGATCACGTCATTGCACTCCAGCCTGGGTAACAAGAGCGAAACTGTCTGGGAAAAAAAAAAAAAAAAAGATGGCAATTTCTCCATTTCAAGATGAGTAAGCAGGATGGGAATCGTGGTTCACACCTGTAATTCCAGCACTTTGGGAAACTGAAGTGGAAGGATCACCTGAAGTCAGGAGTTCGACACCAGCCTGGCCAACATGGTGAAACCCTGTCTCTACTAAAAATACAAAATTAGCTGGGTGTGGTGGCGGACCCTTGTACTCCCAGCTAATCAGGAGGCTGAGGCAGGAGAATTGCCTGAGCCAGGGAGATGGAGGTTCCAGTGAACTGAGATTACACCACTGCACTCCAGCCTGAGCTACAGAGCAAAACTCCATCTTAAAAAAAAAAATTAGTAAGCAGATGTTTTAACTTAGACTAAAAGATTCTCAGCTTTTCAGACAAGTTGTTTTTTGTTTTTTGGGTAGGGACAAGGTTTCACCCTGTTGACCAGGATGGTCTCGATCTCTTGACCTGGTGATCCATCCACCTCGGCCTTCCAAAGTGCTGGGGTTATAGGCCTGAGCCACTGCACCCGGCCCAGACATCTATTAAGTATACTATATGTGTGCGAAAGTTAATAACAATTTCAGTTATTAGTTAACTAACTAGAAATGCCCCTTCCTCTTCACAAGCTACCTGTCAATGAGTGATTCATATACCTGTCATTCTTGAGTGGTAGTAGTAATAAGGTAACTTGAAAGGATCTTCTAATCAAATGGGAAAAACCAGGGAGATAAATATTAGTACTAGAGAACAACAAATGCTGTTACAAATAGGGGTACATAGAGGAAGGTACTTGGTAGAGGACAGGGGCACATCTCCAAGGCATAGATCAAAGTATATAAATAAGGAACTAACTTGTGGTGTGTTCTGGAACCAGAAGTACTCTCATGGTAAAACAGATATAAAAGGGAAGGTAGATGAGGAGCATGTTATAGAAACCAGTTGAGCATATTAAACTACTGGGCAAGGCAGAGGTTCGGATACTGTGTGAATGGGATTCAGAGTGAGGAGGAGACTAGGCTGGGATGGGGTATTTGGATTGGACATGATTTTGTTTATAAGAATGAGAATATTAAAGAAGTTGGATTTCTTGGCTTTGAGACATTTCAGTTTATTAGAAATCAAATTACCATTAGAAAAATTGAACTTTGTTGGTAACAAAGCAATTTAACTTGTGTAACTTGATAGAGATTTACTGACTTAAGCCTTGGGGTTTTTCATAAGCTGCCTTTGAGCATTGTCCTACAGGTTTTAAAATGTAAGCATTTGATAAAATCGTCAACATCCTGCAGAGCCATTTTTTAAAGGGTTTAAAAACCTTTTTGTTTTAATTCATACAGTTGGGTCTTAACTATTGGCGATAACACCATTAATAATTTTTTCTTCATTCCTTTTGCAGGAGGCAAGTGAGGCCTATCTGGTTGGCCTTTTTGAAGACACCAACCTTTGTGCTATCCATGCCAAACGTGTAACAATTATGCCAAAAGATATCCAGCTAGCACGCCGCATACGTGGAGAGCGTGCTTAAGAATCCACTATGATGGGAAACATTTCATTCTTAAAAAAAAAAAAAATTCTCTTCTTCCTGTTATTGGTAGTTCTGAACGTTAGATAATTTTTTTTCCATGGGGTCAAAAGGTACCTAAGTATATGATTGCGAGTGGAAAAATAGGGGACAGAAATCAGGTATTGGCAGTTTTTCCATTTTCATTTGTGTGTGAATTTTTAATATAAATGCGGAGACGTAAAGCATTAATGCAAGTTAAAATGTTTCAGTGAACAAGTTTCAGTGGTTCAACTTTATAATAATTATAAATAAACCTGTTAAATTTTTCTGGACAATGCCAGCATTTGGATTTTTTTAAAACAAGTAAATTTCTTATTGACGGCAACTAAATGGTGTTTGTAGCATTTTTATCATACAGTAGATTCCATCCATTCACTATACTTTTCTAACTGAGTTGTCCTACATGCAAGTACATGTTTTTAATGTTGTCTGTCTTCTGTGCTGTTCCTGTAAGTTTGCTATTAAAATACATTAAACTATACCTGCTTTTGGTCTTTATTATCAGCCTTGCCCCACAATTCATGTTCAAGATAATATTAGTAGTAAGTGCTTTAATTGTCACTTTATATATGAGACATAAGACTTACTGAGAGATGAGGAAATTATGGGCTTGGTGGCAAAAGGAAACGAATACTGGCTTTAAGTCTTAGAAGCTTGCCAAAACCTAATGATCTTAACTCTGGATATGTTGTCTTCTGAACCAATTAATTCTAAAAGCTAGTCAATAGGATCACCTGGAAGTAGTGGAATCTGTAAGTGGATTCAACTTTCATAAATGTTGAATAACAAATGGAAGTGTGTAACAGTCTTTAGCTCAAAAGTTAATGCATTCAAGATCTGGCTATATTAAGATGCTCTGTATTCATTAACCCGAACTTACCCAAGCACTAATGGTTAATTCTTAGCCCTGTTTTATTTAGTATTGGTATGATTAATGTGAAATGAGGATGATAATAACCTTCTTAAAACTTTTAACGATCCCATTAGTTGTAATGTTTGAGTGTTTGAAACTGCCCCAGAAGTGATGAAATGTTAATCACTGTGCTAAGAATAGACTTCGTGTCAATAAGATACAACATTGGGCTTGCATTTTTACTGCTGTTAAACATTTTAGCGATAACTTAATCTTTCAACTATAGGTGAGTGTAAAATTCTTTAATGGGAGAATTCTAAGAGCCTAAGTTTGTTAGCATGCATCCCAGTTTTCAGCATGATCTTTTGCCTATATGGGGAGGTACTGATAACGGTTGGTATTTTCTCAGTAGTTGAATATTCTCTGTTTAGTCCAGTTTTTCAGTGCAAAGGACCAAATGGTAGGCCTTTTCATGAAAAACACTCAGAAGAAAAAGTTGGTGTCCCCATTAAGGGAGGAAGTTAATATTACCTGCTGGAATCTGATAAGGACCAGTTATTTACAAGTGGATGATACAGTCCTTTGAGTTCTTGGAATCCTAAATTCTCTAAAAGTTTTTGTGTGCTAAAAGTACATTTTTTATTGCCCCATGAGTGGTTGTTAACAGTTAATTTTTTTTTTAAAGCAAAATTTCAATTCGTTTAAACAGATAATTAGTACTATGTGGTCATTGTCCAGGTATAAGACAGTAAGTTGTACATTATAAAATGGAAAAAAGTACAAAGATGAACTTGGCACTCAGTGTATGTACACAGATGTCTGGTCAATTTATTGAATTTGCCTCATAATGCTGTGTTAATATTGGGCATGTATTCCTAGAAAGTAGGTAACTTGTTAATACTTACAAATGAGGCAGTGGAATTTGGGAAGACATTTTTAACTGACGAAGGACCTGACCAATATGCTTAGTAGTTTTGAGCTCAGGGCTATCCTTTGACTCCGGTGCGGATCTGCCAGCTCATTGATCCCTGGCTCAGAAATGATTAGGCTGATAATCCTCTTTCCTATGATGCTTCAGAGCTGGTATATGACAGTTCCACCCAGAGAGAAAAACTAAAGTGGATTGGAATTAAGCTCAAAATGTATGGAGACTAGGTAAAATCACCACTTTGTTTCAGCTTTTGAATAGCAAAGTAACTTAAATAGCCAATAAACACCTTTTAAGATTTCAGAAAAGTTCCCTAAAGTCTAAGTTGACAGATGAAAAACCCCAGAAAATTATATTTTAAGTTAAAAATTCAGGTAAATGTCTTAGGAAAGTCAGGAATACTACAACTGGAAGAATCTTTAGGAATTTGAAAACATTAACCAAATAGGGGGAATCGTAGTTATTACAGATAAGTGCTTGCACAATGCCCAAGCTCTTGCTCTTCTTGACAGTCTAGAATCTTTAAGAGGAAATACATTCAAATTTGCAAATACCTTGAGGGCCTCCCGAATGCTGAGGATGCAAAAGTATGCTGGAACTCAAGATTTAATTCTCAGCAACCCTATGAAGTGGGTACTGTTTTATGCTCTATTTTACAGGTTAAGAAACGGCAAATGGAGGAGGTAGACTTTGTCTCCAGATAGGCTAAATCCAAGGCCATTCTCTTAAGTGATAGTGTAGAATAAATTAGAGCAGTTAATTTGCCAGGGATTGTAGAAGTTGAAGTCTTGGCAGTGGGAGAAACATGGTGGGTGGGGGTAGGAAACAAAATTAGGATTGAAGGTGATGTTTTAGAGATCACAAGAAAAGCCTATATGCAAAACCATGCTGCTCATCACCTGCTCAGTCATAACCTACCCCCTAATTCCCTTCTCATCCATCACCTGTTCTTAGGCTCTTCCTCCAAAAAGGCATCCACAACTTTCCACTTAACACAACTACTACCCTAATGCAAGCTGCTATTTTCTTTTTCTTGCTTGCTTGCTTTTTTTTTTTTTTTTGAGATGGAGTTTCGATCTTGTTGCCCAGGCCGGAGTGCAATGGCATGATCTTGGCTCACTGAAACCGCCTCCTTAAGCGATTCTCCTGCCTCAGCCTCCCAAGTAGCTGGGATTACAGGTGCCTGCCACCATGCCCAGTTTTACCATGTTGGCCAGGCTTGTTCTCCAACTCCCAACTTCAAGTGATCTGCCTGCCTGGGCCTCCCAAAGTGCTGGAATTAACAGGCATGAGCCACTCCCTCCAGCCTAATTTTTGTATTTTTAGTAGAGATAGGGTTTCACCATTTTGATCAGGCTGGTCTCGAACTCCTGACCTCAGGTGGTCCACCCGCCTCGGCCTCCCAGAGTGCTGGGATTACAGGTGTGAGCCAACGTGCCTGGCCATTTGTCTACTATTTTACTGACTGCTCCCACTATTATACTGCAAGAACGGGGGTTTGCTCTATTTCCCATTATACTCCCCGTGCTGATATCTAGTGAGTCTGAATAAAAATCTGTCGAATTAGTGCTAGAATGAATGAGTGGTTCTGCTTGCCTCTATGTCAACGTTAAGCTTCTGTAACCTTAATATATGGTAACTGATCTGGTATTTTGAGGATTAAATGAAAGCAGATGCAAAAACAAGGCCTGGCTGGGTGCAGTGGCTCACGCCTGAAATCCCAACACTTTGGGAGGCTGAGATGGGCAGATCACTTGAAGTCAGGAGTTCAAGACCAGCCCGGCCAACATGGTGAAACTGTCTACTAAAAATACAAAAATTAGCTGGGTGTGGTGACACACACCTGTAATCCCAGTTAGGAGGCTGAGGCAGGAGATGTGCTTGAACCCGGGAAGTGGAGGTTGCAGTGAGCCGAGATCTTACCACTGCACTCCAGCCTGGGTGACAGAGTGAGATCCTGTCTCAAAAAAAAAAAAAAGTGCTCAGAACAATTAACGTTAGCAAAACCATCAAACAGGTTTTTTTGTTTTTTTTTTTTTGAGATGGAGTCTTGCTCTGTCGCCCAGGCTGGAGTGCAATAGCACAATCTCGGCTCACTGCAACCTCTGCCTCCTGGGTTCAAGCAATTCTCCTGCCTCAGCCTTCCATGTAGCTGCAATTACAGGTGCACACCACCATGCCCAACTAATTTTTGTACTTTTTTTTTAGTAGAGATGGGGTTTCACCATTTTGGCCAGGCTGGTCTCGAACTCCTAAACTTGTGATCCTCCCACCTCAGCCTCTCAAAGTGCTGAGACTACAGGCCTGAGCCACTGCACCCAGCCTATTTTTTAAATAAAATGTTGAATAGCTCATGAATACTAAACTGAAAGTGACAAAGAGAATGGTTGTAGGGGCACTCCAAGGACAGTTTCTACTGAATGCATGTCACTTTTGCATCATCGTAAAGTTGAAAAATTGTAGGTCTAACCATCATAACTTGAGACCATCTGTACATAGTTTATCAGGAGTAGTAAGTGCTAAAAAGAAAAAACAGAATGTGGATAACAACTGTCTTGGGTGGCAGTGGGGGAGATGTTGGCAGTTAGGCTAGCCAGGGGAGGCATCGTTGAGGTATCTTTCAAGTCAAGTCCTGAAAAAAATGAGAGTAAGCCACACAGAGGTGAGAGAAGAGTACTTCAGGTTCTATTAGGGGTCCCATTAGAGAAGCCAGCCTGGTATGTTCTACGTTGGAGCATGCCACAGTGGAGCAAATGAGAAGCACCGTGGGAAACCAGAGATATAATGGGAGTCAGAGCATGTAGTGCTTTATAGGTCCTGCAAGGACACAGTGAGATGGGAAACCTCTGGAGTTTTGAGCAGAAGGATAAATGGTCTGACTTATGTTTTAACAAAATCACTCCAGCTGCTGTCTGGAGAATAGACTGAAGGCAATAAGGGTAGAGCAGAAAGGAAAACCAGTTAAGCTATTGCAGTAACCTAAGTGCAGCATGATGTAGTGGTTTGGACTTGGGTGGTGGCAGTGGAGGTGTGCAAAGCGGCATTCTGGATATTTTATTACAATGATAGGAGGATGGCTAGGACTTGCTGATGGGTGTAGGCATGAGAAAAATAAAGCAAGGGCTTAATGGGGCCAGGGTTTTCATCTGAGTAACTGCATGAAGTTCCTATTGCTTGACATAGGGAAGACTGTGAGAGAAACAGGTTTGGGGAATATAAGGGCTCAGTTTTGGACATGTTAAAATTGAGATGCTTAATTGGACTTTTTAGTGATGTCAAGTAGACTTTTGGATTTGAACCTGGGATTAAGGAAAGAGGTTTGGGCTGGAGATACAAATCTGGAAGTCATCAGCATGGTCTTAAAACTAGCTGAGACGGCCAGATGTGGTGGCTCATGCCTGTAATCCCAGCACTTTAGGAGGCCAAGGTGGGTGGATCACAAGGTCAAGAGATCAAGACCATCCTGGCCAACATGGTGAAACCCCATCTCTACTAAAAAATAGAAAAATTAGCTGGGCGTGGTGGCGCGTGCCTGTAGTCCCAGCTACTCAGGAAGCTGAGGCAGGAGAATTGCTTGAACCTGGGAGGCAGAGGTTGCAGTGAGCCAGGATCATGCCACTCCACTCCAGCCTGGCAACAGAGCAAGGCTCCGTCTCAAAAAAACAAAAACAAACAAATAAAACCTAGCTGAGAGGCCAGGTGCGGTGGCTCATGCCTATAATCCCAGCACTTTGGGAGGCTGAGGCGGGTGGATCACGAGGTCAAGAGATCGAGACCATCCTGGTCAACAAGGTGAAACCCCATCTCTACTAAAAATACAAAAATTAGCTGGGCATGGTGGTGCGCGCCTGTAGTCCCAGCTACTCGGGAGGCTGAGGCAGGAGAATTGCTTGAACCCAGGAGGCGGAGGTTGCGGTGAGCCAAGACCGTGCCATTGCACTCCAGTCTGCGTAACAACAGTGAAACTCCATCTCAAAAAAAAAAAACCTAGCTGAGATCACCAAGAAAGTAGGTGTTGATAGAAATTAGAGAGGAGGGCTGGACATGGTGGCTCACGCCTGTAATCCCAGCACATTGGGAGGCTGAGGCAGGTGGATCACCTGAGGTCAGGAGTTTGAGACCAGCCTGACCAACATGGAGAAACCCCATCTCTACAAACAATACAAAATTAGCCAGGCGTGGTGGTGCATGCCTGTAATCCCAGCTACTTGGGAGGCTGAGGCAGGAGAATCGTTTGAACCTGGGAGGTGGAGGTTGCAGTGAGCCAAGATAACACCATTGCACTATAGCCTGGTCAACAAGAGCGAAACTCTGTCTCAAAAAAAAAAAAAGAGAAAGAAAAAAGAAAAGAAAGAAATTAGAAATTCAAGGACTGAGGCACTCAACATCTCAACATTTAGAGTTTAGGGACTAACAGACAGCTCCAAAGAAGACTGAGAAGACACAGACATAGAAGAAGAAAGCCAGACATATGTGATAATCTGGAAGTCAAAAGAAGATAGTGCTCCAATGAGGACAAAAAGTGATCTATTGTGTCAATTACTACTAAGCCAAGTGGGGTGTGAGGTCTGAGAACTGACCATTTTATTTGTAGAGGTAACTGGTGACCCTAATAACAGTTTTGATGAAACAGAGGGAACAAAACCTGATTAGAGTGAATTCTAGAGAAACTAGGGCTTTCATCAAATGATGAAACTTCATATCATCAAAAAAAGAGACAAACTGACATCATACTGAGGACACAACATCACCGAAAAGTTTACCCAAAATGTTTAAACTGAATATAACAATAAGGATAAGGAAAAAACCTGATAAACCCAAAGTGTAAGACATTGAGCCAGGCACAGAGGCTCACGCCTGTAATCCAAGCACTTTGGAGACCAAGGCGGGCGGATCACCTGAGGTCAGGAGTTCAAGACCAGCATGACCAACATGGTGAAACCCCGTCTTTAAAAAAAAAAAAAAGGAAATTATTGAGGAGATTTTAATAAGCCCTGTATATTAAATACTACATCACTCTCAAATTTATTGAATGTATAATAATAACAGTATTATGATTGTAAAGAGAATGCTCTTGTTCTTTGAGGTAGTTGCTGAAGGGGTAAAAGGTCATAATGGTTGCAGTTTAAAATTTAGGAGTCAGGCATGGTGGCTCCTGTCTGTAGTCTCAACACTTTGGAAAGCCGAGGCAGATGGACTGCTTGAGTTCAGGAATTTGAGAACAGCCTCGGCAACACAGTGAGACCCATCTCTACAAAAAATACAAAAATTAGCAGGGCATGGTGGCATACACCTGTGGTCCCAGCTACTTGGGAGGCTAAGGCAGGACAATCCCTTGAACCCAGGAGGCAGAGGCTGTGGTGAGCTGAGGTCATGCCACTGCACTCCAGCCTGAGCAACTTTCTCACAAAGAAAGACAGGGCTGGGCGAGGTGGCTCATGTCTGTAATCCCAGCAATTTGGGAGGCCAAGGCAGGCAGATCTCTTGAGGCCAGGAGTTCAAGACCAGCCTGGCCAACATGGCAAAACCCCATCTCTACAAAAAATACAGAAAACAACAACAACAAAAACAAACAAAAAACCTGGGTATGTTGGTGCACCGCCTGTAGTCCCGGTCACTCTGGAGGCTGAGATGGGAGGACGGCTTGAGTCTGGGAGTCAGAGGTTGTAGTAAGCCAAGATCACACCACTGCAATCCAGTGAGTACCTGTCTTAGAAAAAAAAAAGGAAAGGAAAGGTAGCAAGGAACAGTTCAAAACAAGCAGTTAGGGGAAATGCTTATAAAAAGAGAATTGGAGGGGCCAGGCCCGTGGCTCACGCCTGTAATCCCAGCTCTTTGAGAAGCCAAAGCAGGTGGATCACCTGAGGTCAGGAGTTCCAAACCAGCCTGGCCAACATGGCGATACGCCATCTCTACTGAAGAAATACATAAATTAACTGGGCGTGGTGGTGTGTGTCTGTAATCCCAGCTACTCGGGAGGCTGAAGCAGGAGAATCCCTTGAACTTGGGAGGCAGAAGTTGCAGTGAGCTGAGACCGTGCCAGTGCACTCCAACCTGGGTGACGGAGGGAGACTCAAAAAAAAAAAAAAAAATTCAGAATTAGAGGAAATGAATTAGAGACAGCAAGTATAGGTAGTTTCCAGGAGTTTTGCTTAAAACGGAGAGAAACGGTAGTAACTAAAGAAGAAAGTGGGAACTCAAGAGACCTGTTTGTTTTTCCTTTCCAACTTTTAAGTTTGGGGTGCATGCATAGGCTCGTTACATAGGTAAGTTTCGTGTCTCAGGAATTTAATGCACAGATAATTTTGTCACCCAGGAATTCAGCATAATACCTGAGAGGTATTCTTTTATTTATTTATATGCAGGGACTCACTCTGTCACCCAAACTGGAGTGCAGTGGTATGATCACCACTCACTGCAGCCTCAGCCTCATGGGCTCAAGGGTTCCTCTTTCATCAGCCTCTTGAGAAGCTGGAGCTACAGGCATGAGCCACTGCACTCAGCTAAGTTTTTAAATTTTTTGTAGAGACAAGATCTCACCATGTTGCCCAGGGTGGTCTCAAACTCTAGGCTCAAGCAACCCTCCCACCTCAGCCTCTTAAAAAATTTTAATGGTAAAAGTTCAGTTTTACAGTTAGTGCTGGCAACGCAAAAATAAGGAAAGTGGCAGGAGGTCCGGGGATTATGAGAGAACGCATGACAAATGTTTAGCACAGAGCTGGCCACACACAGTATGGGCTCAGTTCACGGTGGATTTTATTTGGTCATCATCATTACATTTGGATCTGAAATAAAACACTTCTGATTCCAAATGAAGGGGAGGGAGGTAGAGTGGAGGCAGTGCGGAGGGCTGGCTTGGATTTCTGCTAAGATGTCACAGCCTCAGATACCCTCAAGGCATGCCATGCCCGGCTTAGCCGAGTGAGGGTCTGTGAAGCCTGATGGCGTGTAGGAAAGCTCGGTGGCCTCACTGTCAGCGCAGCCGAGGCCATCACGCTGGCTCCAGACTAGTCAGCAGATGGCCGCGCACCAGGCCCTTCCTGAGGCCGGGGAGACTCAGCTCTCAGTGACGGAAGCGGCCGGCCCGGGACAGACTCCTGAGGAGCGCTGCCGCAGACTCGCGAAACAGGACGTGGAGCCAGGCGGCTCCTTCCAACCCCTCCTGAGGGGGCAGCCTGAGGGAGGGTCGCTGTCAGGACCTCGAGGACTGAGGGTTCAGGGTGCCCGCAGCTCCTCGCCTCGCCGCTCCCTCCTCCCTCCAGGTCGTGGAGGCCAGTCCCCAGCATCGCTCCAGCGGTCCCCACTGTCATCGCTCCAGCGGTCCCCACTGTCATCGCTCCAGCGGTCCCCACTGTCGTCGCTCCAGGGTGGGCTTCACCCTTTTCAGGCATTTCTGAAATCGGCGCCTCACCCGGATTCTCTTCCTCCCGGTAGCCCTCCCCAGCCCCAGGTGTTAGACCGTTCCCAAAACGCGAAACCGATTCTTCCAGCCGCCTGGCGGTCGCCCAACAGCACCTCAAGCCCGGGTCGTTGTCACGTGACACGGCCCCTGCGCCCTGGCCCCGCCCCCGCCCCCGCCCCCGCCCCGCGTCCGGGCCCCGACCCCCCCGCGCCCGCCTGCCCGGGGGCGTTTCCGCCACCCTCTCTTCCCAGGTTTCCAGAACTTGCGGGCCCCCTCTCCGCCAGCCCCGGCTTGGTCACCGCCGCGACCCGGGACTCCTCCGCCGTGGTCCACTCCTGAGGCCTTAGCCTCGCCGCGAGCAGGGCCCGCGCCCGCTGTCGACGCAGCTCTTTTTGGTCCCGGGTCGGGGGAATCCCCTTCCCACAGGTGAGGGCCACCTCCTGCGCCCGGCCCGGCCAAGCGCCTTGAAGGCGCCACACATCCTGCAAACTGGGTGAAGCGTGGCACTTTGGAAAACAAAGCACGTTAGTGCCCAGCAGCCTCCTCGCCAGCCGGTGGGATGTCATATTTACGAACGGAGAGCCCGCGAGCTGGAAAAAATAACGCCCGTCCTGCCGGCGCCTCGGCGCCCAAACCTGTTTCCCGCAACTCCATCTCCTCTGCCCCGCGAAAGTGGGCTCAGGGGCCAGGCGCGGTGGCTCACGCCTGTAATCCAGCATTTTGGGAGGCCGAGGCGGGTGGATCACCTGAGGTCGGGAGTTCGACACCAGCCTGGCCAACATAGTGAAACCCTGTCTCTACTAAAAATACAAAAATTAGCTGGGTGTAGTGTCGCGCGCCTGTAATCCCAGCTACTCTGGAGGCTGAAGCAGGAGAATCACTTGAACCCGGGAGGCGAAGGTTGCAGTGAGCCGAGATCGTGCCACTGCGCTCCAGCCTGGGTGACAGAGCTGTCGAAAGAAAAGGAAAGAAAAAAAGAGGGCTCAGTGGGCTCAGGCCTTGGACCATCTGGCTTTCAACCACCCGGACCTGGTTGAAACGGATCAGGAAACAGCTGTCGAGGAAAAGAGCAGGCCCCTGAGGGGCAGTAATGCACCCCCAACCCCTACGGCTGAGGAATTCACGTCCCTGGCTCTGACCTGACCCTCCAACTCCATCCCCTGGGTTTGGCTTTGTTACTTTCCAGAGGTTGGGCTCGGAGCCAGGAGAAAGGATGGCTAGGTCTATGGCCAGCCTTAGGAAGGCGCGCCCGCAGAGGACACCCTGGAGAGGGGCCAGGGGTTGAGGCCTGGATCTCTCTCAGAGGAAGGGGGTTAGGGCGGGGGCAGTCAGCCAGGATGCATTTGCTATGACCTGAGGGAGAGCAGGAGCTTTACAACTCGGGTCCCGAGACTGGCAACGCTTTAGGATCAGTAGAAGCCAATTAGATGGGATTGTCGCATGAACTATGAAGTCACCGAAAGGCCTGAGAAGCTGCCCTATAAAAGCGGGAATCCTGACACCAAAGGTGGAAGGGTATTTAATAACCTCCAACAACTGTTCTCAAACTCCTCAGCACTCCGAGGGTGACGGATGTCTTTGCCAACCGTTAATTTTTTTTTTTTTTAAGACAGCCTGGATCTGTCACCCAGCCTGGAGTGCAGTGGCATGATCTCGGTTCACTGCAGCCTCCGCCTGTCAGGTTCACTTGACTCTCCTGCGTTAGTCTCCCAGGTAGCTGGGATTACGGGACCTGCCACCACACCCAGCTAATTTTTGTATTTTTAGTGTAGACGGGGTTTCACTATGTTGACCAGGCTGGTCTCAAACTCCTGACCTCAGGTGATCGGCCTGCCTCAGCCTCCCAAAGTGCTGGGATTTACAGGCATTAGCCACTTCACCTGGCCCCCAAGTGCTTCTTTTTTGTTTGTTTGTTTTTGAGATGGGGAACATCGCTCTGTGCCCCAGCTGGAGTGCAATGGCACAATCTCACTGCAACCTCCACCTCCAGGCTTCCAGCGATTCTCCTGCCTCAGCCTCCGGAGTAGCTGGGATTACAGGCGCGCATCACCAGCTAATTTTTGTATTTTTAGTAGAGACAGGGTATCACCATGTTGGCCAGGCTGGTCTGGAATTCCTGACCTTATGATCCGCCCGCTTCAGCCTCCCAAAGTGCTGTGATTACAGCCAACGTGCCCGGCCTCAAGTGTTTTTTAAAGGCTCTTTTCGAGAGTCGCCTACTACGGAAACAAGAAGGAAGCCCGACAGGAGAATCCTGGGCAGAAAAGCACCATCAGTTTTAACGCCGCTGCTCTGGCCCTGGGAACTAACAACCTGGACGTCCACTCAAGAGACCTAATCTGAAAGTTGGTAATTTCAAAGACGAGAGGAGGATAAATTTACAATGACGGGAAGAAACCAGCGTAAAAAAGCTGAGAATGCTCAAAGTCAGAACGCCTCTCCCTCTAAAGATGATCACAGTTCCACATCAACAATGGAACAAGGCTTGATGGAGAACGAGCGCCTCCTGATGACAGAATCACTCTTCAAGGAATGGATAATAACAAACTTCGGTGAGTTAAAAGAACATGTTGTAGCCCAACGTAAAGAAACTAGGAACTTTGACAAAAGGCTTGATGAAATCCTATTGAGAATAGACAACTTAGAGCGGAGTATGAGTGAATTAATGGAACTGAAGAATACAATACAGGAACTCCGAGAAGTATGCACAGGTTTAAACACTCGAATTGTTCAAGCAGAAGAAGGGATATCAGAGGTCAAAGTCCAACTTAATGAAATAAAACGTGAAGAAAAGATTAGAGAAAAAAGGATAAAAAGGAATGAGCAAAGTCTCCAAGAAATGTGGGACTATGTGAAAAGACCAAATTTACGTTTGATAGGTGTACCTGAATGCGACGGAGAGAATGAATCCAAGCTGGAAAATACCCTTCAGGATATTATTCAGGAAAATTTTCCTAAACTAGCAAAGCAGGTCAACATTCAACCCCAGGTAATACAGAGAACACCACAAAGATATTCCTCAAGAAGAGCAACCCCAAGGCACATAATCGTTAGATTCACCAGGGTTGAAACGAAGGAGAGGATACTAAGGGCAGCCAGAGAGAAAGGTCGGATAACCCACAAAGGCAAGCCTATCAGACTTACAGCAGATCTCTCGGCAGAAACTCTACAAGCCAGAAGAGAGTGGGGGCCAATATTCAACATCCTCAAAGAACAGAACCTTCAGCCCAGAATTTCATATCCAGCCAAACTAAGCTTCACAACTGAAGGAAAAATAAAATCTTTTATGAACAAGCAAGAACTCAGAGATTTTATTACCACCAGGCCTGCTTTACAAGAGCTTCTGAAAGAAGCATTACACACAGAAAGAAACAACCAGTATTAGCCTTTCTAAAAATACACCAAAAAGTAAAGAGCCCCAACATAAAGAAGAATTTACACCAACACATGGATAAAACAGCCAGTCAACATCAAATGGCAGTAACCCTAAATTTAAATTGACTAAATTCCCAATCAAAAGACACAGCCAAAACCCAACGGCATGTTACATCCAGACCTGTTTTACATGCAAGGATACACAAAGACTCAAAACAAAGGGATGGAGAAAGATTTACCAACCAAATGGAGAGCAAAAATAAATAATAAATAAATAAAAAGCAGGAGTTGCAATTCTTGTATCGGATAAAATAGATTTTAAAGCAACAAAAGATATAGTGGTAAAAGGATCAATGCAACAACAAGAGCTAACGATCCTAACACCCAGATAGGAGACTTAGATTCAATGAGACAGAAAATTAATAAGGATATCAAGGACTCGAACTCAGATCCAGAACAAGTAAACTTAATAAATATTTATAGAGCTCTCCACTTCAAATACACAAAATATACATTCTTGTCAATACCACATCACACCTACCCATTAGTTTAAATGAAACATTGATTGGCCATTATTAATACCCAATTTTTTTCAAAATAAAGCAATATTTCCATTTACTCTCCCTCTTTCTCTTCCTCTTTCTTCCTCTCCTTTACTTATTTTTTTTTTTCTTTCCTTCTCTCAAAAAAAAAGAAATCAACTTGTAAACCTCTAGATCCAGGTCGGCAATGTCTCTTTCATTGCTTGATTTCCTTTCTTCCCTTCCCTCCCTCCCTCCCTCCCTCCCTCCCCGCTTCCTCCCTTCCTTCCTTCCTTCATCCCTTCCTTCCTCCCTACCGTCCTTCTTCCCTTCCTTCCTGCCTTCCTCCCCCCCAAAAAAAAAAAAAAAATAAATAAAGGCTCTTTTCAGCTTCTGTTGGCTGGAGAAAGAACCCCCTCCTCTTCCCAACATCTCCCCACCTCCTCATGAAAAGGCCCCGGGGCGGGGGAGGCCCTAAGGACAAATACCATCTTTAAAGCAGCATTCCCAGGCCCTCTGCCCCACCCAAGCTCTTGCCCAAAAATTCAACAGATCTCATCTCCCAGCATGGAACAAGTGACAGTGAGTGCTAGAGAGGAGGCAAGTTAAAACTGCTCTCCAGGTGGGGCACCGTGGCTCACACCTGTAAACCTAGCACTTTGGGAGGCCAAGGCAGGTGGATTGCCTGAGCTCAGGAGTTTGAGACTAGCCTGGGGAACATGTAAAACCGACATCTCTACTAAAGATACAAAAATCTAACTGGACATGGTGGCTTGCTCCTGTAATCCCAGCTACTGGGGAGGCTGAGACAGGAGAATGCTTGAACCCGGGAAGCAAAGGTTGCAGTGAGCTGAGATGGTGCCATTGCACTAGGACAGAATGAGCCTAGGACAGAGTGAGACTCCACCTCAAAAAAACCAAAATAAAACAACAACAAAAAAACTGCTCTCCACAGGCAGATACTTTCTTTCCTTCCTTCTTTTCTTCCTTCCTTCCTCCCTCCCTCCCTCCCTCCTTCCTTCCTTCCTTTCTCACTGCAACCTCCACCTCCCAGGTTCAAAGTGATTCTCCTGCCTCAGCCTCCCTAGTAGCTGGGATTACAGGCATGTGCCACCATGCCCGGCTAACTATATTTTTAGTAGAGAGGGGGTTTCTTGGCCGGCATGGTGGCTCATGCCTGTAATCCCAGCACTTTGGGAGGCTGAGGCGGGTGGATCACCTGAGGTCAG